TCTCTCTCTCTCTCTCTCTCTTTCTCTCTCAAATTCGTTCAGTAGGTTTGTTTTTTTTAAAATCGAAAAAGCCTTTTCCGAAGGAGACGTGATAAGTTTTGCTGAAACATGACCCAATAAAAAAACTGCATACCCGATATTGGAACACCTGGCACAACCACACATTACAGTCGAACCTGTTCAAGACGACCACTTATTGTTGAGGAGGAAAACGCTCATCTTAGGCAGCTGGTCCTCACGGACAGGTCATAATGATACTGTCTTTTAAAATATGGGGAAAGTGGGAAATGACCAGTAACATGTTTTGTACAGGTGACTGTCTTGGAGAAGTGATCGTCAGAGAAGGGTCAAATTTATCTTAAATTATATTATATTACTAACAAGAAGAATGTCAACTAGCCAGCCAGCCTCGAGAGCCTATAATTACACCAAGTACTTAAGCTTTAAAGGAAGAGGTAGGCCTCGCAAAAGGTGGATTGCGGGAGTCATGGAAACCCTGAGACATTATGATATATCCTAATTGAAAGAGCTGCTGAGCTGCTGAGCTGCTCTGGCCTACCATAGAATACTGTATCTCCTCTCGACGTTTAACGGCAACAGAGGGTGAAAAGGGTTTTTTTGAGTTAGCTTTTTTTTGTTGTTAAAAAACAACAAAAAGTCTCCAATCGAAGAAATTTGGCGCCAACCTTTCCCAGACACCCACCTGGTAGTGTCCATGGGCTCATCCTGGGCTGGACATAGCTACATCCTAGACTGGACATGGGTACTCCAGGAGGGCCAGCGGCCGACACATTCTCACTCTTCCCAGGAGCCGTGGTGGAAGTGACAACTGGAAAACTTCAGAACTGACCACCGGAAAACTTCATACACACGGACAGAGGAATGAAACGACGGCTAGTAACATCTTTGACTGAGTGAATTACATAACTCTCAGAGGGTATCCAACTGGAGAATAATATCTCTCTTTATCTCTCTTCAAAGAGTATCCGTTTTCGAAAAAATCCTCAGAAAGAAAAAACCCCGCTAATCACAGCTGTGTATAGATCTAGAGGCAGCTTTAAGTCTGTAATCCAAACGAAAGCACAGACTAATGTGTGTTTACCCTGTGACCCAGTTTTGATGAACTCGATACAAAAGTGGTCATATACAAAAATTATCCAGCAAAAAGTCAAGTTTCCAGTCTTGCGAACTATTGCTGTTCACAATGAAAGAAAACACTATATTGCGCGTCTACCCTATGACACAGTCAAAATAGTATGTCAGTTTTGCTTGACGTAGTCAAGTTGAGACATTAAACTACTGGAAATGCTGTTCATCCACCCTGACAATATCATACAAGACGTGGCCAGGACAGTAAATCACCAAAAAATACCTCGAGAATCCAGTCTTCAGAACTATGGCTGTTTACACCTAAAAACAAAAAAAAACTATTGTGTTTACCCAATTTAATGACAATGTCAAAATTGGGTTGATTCAGTTTTTCTAGAAACTTGAAACAGACATAGTTGTGAAAGTAATCCAGGAAAAAAAGTCGAGTATTCAGCTTTAAGTATACAGTTTTAAGTATCCAGTCTTGAGTATCCAGTGTTGAGAAACTGTGGTGTTTACAAACTCGGCGAGTATCCACGAGTGTCACCTCAGCCAGAGGTAGTGGCGAGGTGGCCGGCGACAAGTAACGACTGACTGCTCTGTGATCTGGGCCCGGAGTTCCCCCCTCTACAGGTTCCACGCCGTCGTCGTCTTCTCCTCCTCCTCCTTCTCTTCTTCCTCCTCTCTCTCTCTCTCTCTCTCACTCTATCACTCTCGACTTTCCTCTCGCCACACACACACGCACAAACAGATCGCGACTATCGGCAGTCGTTTGCAAACAAGCTCTCTCCACACCTCTCGTCTGTCAGCCGCGGCTGGCCGTGGGAACGTGCGGCGGGATTCATCGAACCGATCTGGTCGGTCTTCCTCTCACCGCGGACCAGTGCTGGGCAATGAGTCGCTTTAGCAAAATCCGGTTGATATGTTAGTGCACCTCTTCGGTAAATAATAATATGTTCATGAACCGCTTTGACAAAGAGGGTTAGAACCACTTCGACAAACGGGTTAGCACCACTTCAATAAATAGGTGCATTCACTTGGGCAAACGGGATAGGAAAGAGAGTTTAAGAGTCTGAATTCGGATAATGTTTTATTGTTAAGATTTTCCGATTATCCGGATATTTATCCTGATTTTGCCTACCTCTACCGCGACCGCGCTGCGCACCACCAACAACACCAACACTACTACCACTACTACAGTCACCACCACCACAATTAACACCACGACGTGCTAGAGTTAGAGTTATCTGCTGTCGGAGACGTGCGCACCGCGGGGCGCCTCTGGTGAACGAAGAGATGTCGGTGGAGGACCGGGTGGGGGAGGGGGGTTGAGAGAGAGAGAGAGAGAGAGAGGGAGAGAGAGAAGAGAAGAGAGAGAGAGGTAGAGAGAGAGAGAGATACAGATAGAGAGAAAAAGACAGAGGAAGAGAGAAACGGAGAGACAGACAGACAGACACACAAACACACACACAGATAGAGATAGAGATAGAGATAGATAGATAGAGAGAGAGAGAGAGAGAGAGAGAGAGAGAGAGAGAGAGGGAGAGAGAGTGGGGAGGGAGGGGGAGGGGTGTCACGCACGTAGGTAGGGACAGGTGATCCAGCGACCCGATAAGTGGAACCGATGACGTCATTGAGGTACCCGGACAAGAGATCTCTCTCAACCAATGAATGACCCCAGCCTTTTTCTTTGACAATAAATAACACAAACTTTTAGTTTAGTTTTAGTAAGAGTTTTACGGCACTTGCAACACTATAAGGTCATATAAATACCGAAGATTAGAGGTGTTACAAGAGAGCAACAAACACAAAAAAGAAGGAGGGGAGATCAGGACGATAGATGTTTCATAGGAAAGAAGAGCGAACCACACCACAGCACCCACCAACCACCCATACACAAACTTTATGAGTCCCGACGTGGAGGAATCAGGCATGAGTAATATGTGGTTACTGATGTTATCTTAAAATTTGTTAATTTTTCTTGCTTTTGTTGAAAAAAATACCCATCTATCTTGAATAGAATTCGAGATATTCGGGATTGAAAGAGGTGGGGGTCACCTAGCGTCGGAGGTAAAATTAGCGAGAAAATGGCAGCCAGAATTTGGTGACTGACAATGCTGAGTGTCCGTGTCCTTGGAAACTGAATATTTATTATTATTTTTGTGCCTTTAACCAATATTTGAAAAGTAAACTCTACGCAGACACGTGTTTTAAATTAGATACAAAAGGTGTTGAGCAAAAAGTTTTTTTTGTTGTTTTTTTAAAGAAAAGAACATTTTTAAAACATTGCCCAACAGCAAGGAAAATGCAGGTTTTTTAATGTCATTAGTTTGAAGAGCGTGTGATTTCACCACGATGCCCTCACTTTCATGTTAAATGTTAAATGTACAAAGCCCAAGACTTTATTCATTTTTCAAATAGTAATTACCCAGCATGTGTCCAAGAATTCAGATCCTAATATTGAATGGAAAAAAACAACAACAGAGTTTAAAAAGTATAGACAAAAAATACATACTTTAGGGACTGTGTTAAAAGAACGAAGAAGTTCTTTTCTCTCAAGAGAGAAATTTTGGTATCCAGGCTAAGTACATTTGTTATGTAAAGTGTGAAATATTTTGGCAAATGAACACACAACTTTATACATTAATTTATTATGATTCGAGTTCCAAATTGCTTGATTAAAGAAACAAAATTAAACCGATTTTTTCCACTCTCTGATGCAAAAATTAGCCTAATTGATCAGCTTGTCAACGATATGTTAATAAAAAAAACAACAACCCAAAACAACAACAAGATAAACAAGCAACGTCAACAGCAGCAACTGTAGCACAGACATCATCATCAACAACAACAAAAATAAGAACAACAGCAGCAACAACAACAACAACATCAGTGACATGGATCGTCACCAACGTCAATTATGCAGCTTTGTACGCAGAAAACCCTGGTCGACTCTCGCGTGTGTGTGAGGAAATTTTGTACCGAGTATTTCGGTCTTTCTGCTGACAAAAGCTAGAAAAAAGAAAACACTAATAAATCAGATACTCGAACACTAACCGAAAGACCTTATCATTATTATTCATATTTTCTTATAGACTCATTCTAATTTCTGAAAATCATTGTAACTAATCAACCGCATTCACGTAATAAATGATTGTCTGATTCGAAAAAGATCATGTTTAGTTTAGTTTTAGTAAGTGTTTTACGGCACTTGCAACACAATAAGGTCATATAAATGCCGAAGATTAGAGGTGTTACCAGTGAGTAACAAACACAAAATAGAAGGAGGAGAGATAAGGACGAAAGATGTTTGATAGGAAAGAAGGAGCAAACCACATAACAGCACCCGCCAACCACCCGCAATAAGATGAAAAGGGGACACAATACAAAACAAAACAAAACAAATAAATCAACATCAATTTTTCCTTGTTAAAATCCAGAGATTCCATAAGGTCGAAACTCCCTGATGTGACTCAAATAATATATTAAAATTCTTCTTTCTTTTGAATCCCCTGTCGTGTGAAAAGTGTATGGTAAGGTGGACGTAATGTAGCGTGACTCAGTGGCAAACACACTGGATGGTCACTCGTCTACCATCATGTGTGCTGGCGCTGGGTTACATGCTTTGTGGTCCGTTTAAGTGCACTGAGGTGCACTGAGGTGCACTGGAGTGTGGTGAGGTGAGGTTTTATAATCGAGCAAGATTCGGCAGAGGTAGGGATCGAGATGTCAGTCTAGGCTCCAAAAGTTTGTGGTCTGTAGTGATTTTCTTCTGCTCTGTTTGGTGATAAGTGACCGGGTTTTGTTTTTTTTGGTGGGGGTGTGGATGAGGAAGACAGATATATAGGAAGAGAGAGAGAGAGAGAGAGAGAGAGAGAGAGAGAGAGAGAGAGAGTG